TCCTCTCTCCTGTTCTGATCAACCCTGGCGCCCCTGCCGCCCGCAGTGGGGCTCTTGCAGGCGGGGTAAGCCCTGGGCCACCCCAACACCCGTGGGATTGGGTCCTGCTTTAACAGCTGGTACAGTGCTGGGCAGTCCTGCCTCCCGGACACCTGTCTCTCGCTGTCCTGGAGAGACAGAGTCCTGAGCACGGGCACGGCCAACTCCCCCGGCCAGCCTGTGACCCCGGAACCTGACCTCTCTTCGTGCCCCCCGCCTGCCTCCCACCCCAGCCTGTGAACACACCTTGCGAGTCTCATCACCCTCAGCCCAGACACACTCGCCCAGAATGACCGCACAGCTGGCCCACAGCGAGAAACAGGAGGCCTGGCACAGCGCCACCCGATTTGTCCTGGAGGGTCTCCCAGGTCCCCCAATTCGGGACAGGCTGGAGAGTTTCGGCTCTGGCTGCTGCCCCCTGAGAGCCCGCAGCCGGGCCCATCCGTACTGGGGTGCTGGGGCCGGACTCCCAGATCAGACTCCCTCAGAATGCGAAGGCGGGATGGAGCGACTGGCTGCGTCAGCGGGGGTTCATTCCCACCCCCTGTCTAGGAATCAGTCCAGGAGGTGTTTGGGGTGGCCGGGGTGCGCCTGATGGGGACAGCAGGACAGCCCAGTGACGTTACAGTGGGCCTTGGGATCCAGGGGGCCTTTGGGAAGGAGGCACTCTCCAGCCCAGGGAGCAGTGGGATGGCACCCAGGGTGCCAGGCACCCTGCCTACAGTGGACATGCTGACAGAGGCCTGGATGTGGAGTGGCCACTAGGGGCAGGAAGGACCCAGCACACCCCTGCCCTATTCCTGCAGATGTTTCAGACAACCTTTGGGCAAAGGGGGCCTGAGATACACTCCAGAGTTAGGGTGATCTTGGCATCCTTCATCCAGCTGCAGTGAGGGGCCCTCGGGGTTCTGGCACTGCCGGGGGTGATGCTCCCAGAACCCACAAATGTAGGAGGTGCTCTCTGTGTGCGGGAGATGTGTGGGAGATGCTTCATGTGTGGGAGGTGCTCTGTGTGCGGGAGTGCTCCCCATTCTTGTGTGAGAGGTACTCCATGTATGGGAGTGTACTATCCATCTCTGTGTGGGAGGTGCTCCCTGTGTGTGGGAAATGCTCCGTGTGTGTGGAAGTGCTCCCCATCTGTGTGGGAAGTGCTCTCTCTCTTTGTGGAAGTGTTCCCTGTCCATGTGTGGGAGATTCTTCATGTTTGGGAGGTGCTCTGTGCGTGGGAGTGCTCCCTATTTTTGTGTGAGAGGTGCTCTGTGTGTGGGAGTACTATCCATCCATGTGTGGGAGGTGCTCCTCGTGTGTGGGAGGTGCTCTGTGTGTGGAAATGCTCCCGATCTGTGTGGGAAGTGCTCTCTCTCTCTGTGGGAGTGCTCCTTATCCATGTGCGGGAGGCGTTGTGTGTGGGAGTGCTCCCCATCTGTGTGGGAAGTGCTCTCTCTGTGGAAGTGCTCCCCATCCATGTGTGGGAGGTGCTCCTTGTGTGTGAGAGGTGCTCTGTGTGTGGAAATGCTCCCGATCTGTGTGGGAAGTGCTCTCTCTCTCTGTGGGAGTGCTCCTTATCCATGTGCGGGAGGCGTTGTGTGTGGGAGTGCTCCCCATCTGTGAGGGAAGTGCTCGCTCTGTGGGAGTGCTCCCCACCCATGTGTGGGAGGTGCTCCATGAGTATGGGTGATGCTTCCTGGACCCGTGTGTGTGGGAGGTTCTGGGCCGAGCCCTGTGTGTGTCCCGGCTGCCTTCTCTCCACGTCCTGTGCAGAGCTCCTTGGTGCCCCCGACTCCAATGCCCCCCCGCTGCCTGGCAGGCAGGTGGGGCACCTGCTTGGTTCTGAAGGGTGGCCCCAAGGAGGAGTCCCTGAATGTCTGGGGTGACGTGGGTGCTCCTCCAGCCCTCTCACCCCAGCAGGCCCTGAGAACCTGCAGCACGCCCACCTGCTCAGAGGGTCTCCCTGCCCACCTGGCGAGACCAGCAGACCAGCAAGAGGCAACAGTGCTTCGGGCTCGCCTGCAGCTGTGACAGGAATGGGCCCTGCCTGCTACTGCCTCCCACACACTTGAGAAAGGGAGGCTCGGAACGTGGCCAGGAAACACCCAAGGGTGCAGCGCTAGCCAGCGGCAGGTTGTGCAGGAGTATGGGCCTGGGATTCCCGACACCCAGCCAAGCCCCTATCGGGCCGTAGCCCCGGCCGCGTCTCTGCCCATCTTCCCGCCGGCCATCACATAAGCCCCGCACCAGCCACACAGGCCATGCCCAGGCCTCTCCAAAGACTGGGCTCCTTCCAGGAGAAGTGGCCTCTCTAAAGGTCACTACCGGCCACCCGCCCTGCTGGACTCCCCCGAGGGTCTGTCTGTGCTCTCAGCGCTCCCCGCCACCAGCTGAAGCCTCACCTGGACCCGCCCGTCCTCCCTCCCCTTCCTCAGCTGAGCATGGCCTGCGGCATGGCCCCCTCCCAGGGCAATGTTATGGCCAGAAACCAAGGGAAGGACCCCTCCCTCCCCCCTCCCTCCCTTACTCCCTCTCTCCTTTTCCAGGAGTGTGTATATGTGTGTGTGTGTGTGTGTGTGTGTGTGTGTGAGAGCAACACCCAGAATTACTCCAGGGGGCCATTTCTGGCTCTGCACTTAGGGGACCACACGGTGCAGGGGTCGAACCCAGGGCCTCACGCATGCAAAGCTAGCGCTCTGGCACCGAGCCACATCTCTGGCCCTCACAGGACAGGCTTCAAATGAGGCTCCTCGGGGCTGGAGCGATAGCACAGCGGTAGGGCGTTTGCCTTGCACGCAGCCAACCTGGCTGACCCGAGTTCGATTCCTCCGTCCCTCTCGGAGAGCCTGGCAAGCTACCGAGAGTATCTCGCCCGCCAAGCACAGTAACAACAAAGTCTCCAATGGAGATGTTACTGGGCCCGCTCGAGCAAATCAATGAACAACGGGAGGACAGTGACAGTGACAGGCAACTGAGGCTCCTTCATTCCAGAGGGCCACGAGACGGTCCACAGGAAGGCTGAGAAAATGTTGGAACTTGTTCTTATTCCTGTTTATCCATCCCCCGCCCCCAGTATCGCCCCACCGGCCCTCCCCCCCCCCCCCCCCCACGACGCCCAGCTCAGGGCCTGCTTGCATCACCACCTTTCAGCTTCACCACACTTTTGTGCTGTTTCAAATGGACACGCACACATGGCATATGTTTGCTGAAAACACAACTGGCCCCTGAAGATAAACACAGGGGACACACTTGCTGGACGTCCCCCAAGGGCCCCACAGCCCCCTGCCCATGGTGGTGCTCTGCACTGACAGGTGTGGAGTGACTCAGGACAGAGGCACTTGCAAGGACCTGGGGACTGGGGGCGGGAGGGGGGGAGAGGGGCAGGAGAGCGTGTGGAGGGAGGGAAGGGAGTCCGGGCTGGGCAGGTTCTGTTGTTTCCCCAGCAGAGGGAGGCCCAGCCAGGGAGGAGGCAGTGCCCACCCGCCCGCAGCCCCGCAGCAAGGCCAGTGATGAGTCGCGTTGGAGTAATTGCGGAGAAGCACCTCGGGCTGGGAAACCTAATGGAATTCCTGAGCAGCCTGGCCCGAGCAGTAATAAGTAGAGGCCCTGGGAAGGGCTGCGGGGAAGGGCGGGACACGGGGGAGGCTTGGCTGGAGGCAGGCTGAGGGCGGAAGGATGGGATCTGCCCCATCCTGGCCCGTGTCCCGGGGGGAACTTCCTCCACTCTTACTTTACAACAGTCTTTAGCCAAGCAGGTCTACAGGTACAGTGATGCAGTGTCCCAGGCCCTGTCAGGGTCTCCTTGTGGCACCCAGGCCCATTCATAGAGCCACCCACCCATCCGTCCATCCACTTATCCATCCATCTATCCACCCACTCATCCATCCATCTGTTCATCCACCACCCATCTATCTACCCATCCATCCATCCATCCATCCACCCACCCACTCATCCATCCACTCACCCACCTATCCACCCACCCACCCACCTTTCATCCACCATCCATCCACCTATTCATCCATCCATTCACCAATTCATCCAACCATCCATCCATCTGTCCATTAATGCACCTATCCATCATCCACGCACCCATCTATCCACCATCCATACATCTTCCTATCCATCATCCATCCATCCATCCATCCATCACCCATCCACCATCTATCCACACATCCATCCATCCATCCATCCATTCATCCACCCATCATTCACCCATCCACCATCTATCCACACATCCATCCATCCATCTATCCATCCATTCATCCACCCATCATTCACCCATCCATCACCCATCCACCCATCCATCACCCATCCACCCATCTATCCACACATCCATCCATCCATCCATCCATCCATCCACCCATCATTCACCCATCCATCACCCATCCACCCATCTATCCACACATCCATCTATCCACACATCCATCCATCCATTCATCCACCCATCATTCACCACCCATCCATCACCCACCCACCCATCCATCCATTGTTATGGGGGTAGCATGTGGCCACCCTTGGGCCCATGCAGCTTTGAGGCCAGAAGCCGGGCTCCTGCGTTCTGATGTCTTGAGCCACACCCCTGGCCCCCAGGCTTCCTTTAAAAGCACTTTACACTCTTCTCGTGGAAAAACAGGAATAAGACTGTCTTTTGGGGTCACATACAAAATGTCTCTGCTTTAAAACTCTTCTTTTGTGTGTGTACACCTTATGACACTGGATTAGAACAGAGATCACGAATCCCATTTCTAAATAGATAACCGCAGACTGATGGTATGTGCTGAATTTTTTTTGGGCGGGGGTTGAAGAGGCTTAGTCCTAAATTAAGACACTACTGATGTGTGCAGCCTCAGTCACCCTCGAGGAGAAGGGGGAAAACAGTCGTGTGTGATTCTAGATTTCCCCCCGGGAAAGGAAGCCCCGAGACGCCGGGTCTCTCCGAGGGGTCCACATAGGCCCCGCATTTCTGGACTCACCTCGTCCTTGTCCACCACCTGGATGAACAGCGGGAGAGCAAAGCCGACCTGGGCCAGCTCGGTGATGGCCACGCTGTACTCGGAGCTGTTGAACTCGGGGGCGTTGTCGTTGATGTCAATGACCAGGATGTTGAAGGTGGTGGTGACGGTGGCGTCTGACGGGGTGCGGTCATCGTTCAGCTCTGTGCCCTGCATTCAGACCACAGCCCAGAGGTATCAATGTGGTGACCGCAAGCACAGGAAAAGCTGGCGCTTACCGGGGCTTCCCCAGGGAGACCCTCGGAAGAAGACCCAACCTCCAGGAACCCCAGGAAGGTCCCTGATGGGAAAGCCAGGCAGGGGCTGCGAGGTACCCGGGCACACGGCAGGAGAAGGTTTCAAACGCAAGTAGTGGGGTTCTAGAAGCCACCGTGGGAAGTGACCGGGCAGGGTGGGGGGGAGACAGACCAACATACGTAGGACTGGAGAGTTTCCTGCTGTTTGGGGGCCACACCCGGTGGTGCTCAGGGCTTAGCTCTGTGTGCAGGGACCATTGCTGGGGTGCTCAGGGAACCCTATGGGGGGCTGGGGATTAAGCCTGGTTGGCCGCATGCCAGGGAAGTGCCTTCCCCACTGTATTATTGCTCCAGCCCCCAAGGGTGGGGAGTTATATTCAGGTTGGCAGTGATGCCCCCGAAGCTAGGCATGTACCTCCTGGCAGGTGTGCAAAGATGCCTGAGCTTCTTCCCGGGCCGAGAATGGAGCTGGCTCAGCCATAGAGTGACACAGAGACCTGGGTTATCCCGTCTCAGCACTGGACACCCCCGTTCCCACTCCAGCCTCCAGAGCCCCCGCTGAGCTGGCCAGGTTTGGAGGGTCTCTGGTAGGGAAGGATAGAGCAGAGATCCTCAGTGGCCCACACAGAGTTGGTGGTGGCACTTTCCTCCATGAGCGCCGCTTCCAGAGGCTGGACTGGGGGTACAGGGAGGGAGGGCGGTATCAGCACGCCCCCCAGCCCCCCGGCTGGGTCCTTCAAGGGTGGAGAGGAAAGGGGGAAGGAGCTCAGGAGGGCTAATCTATCTTGGGCTGCGGCAGGCCCAGGGTCTCAAGGAAGGCCGTCAGGGACCAGCCTGGGGGCACTGCCCCTTCTGGGCCCCTCCTCTGGCCTCTGCCACTCCTCCTCTCCATTGATCGATGACTGGGGCTGGGAAGGACCCCTGTGGGCCAGCAGGATCCATACCCCGAAATGGGTTTCCCAGCGAAGGCTCAGCAAGCCATTGATTTTAATTAGAGTCAGCCATGAATGGTGTGTGTGCCGGGGGCAGGGGTGGGACCCCCTCAACGTCCACCCTCTCCCCAGTGCTCACTCTTGGGGGCAGCCAGCAGGGGCTGGGGTGGGAATTCAAGAGCTCTGGGGCTTCCATGGGGTGAGAACATGGAGCATGGGCAGCCGAAACAGGGACGAAGCCCCACCCCATGCAGAGTGGACAGCGGCTGTGAAATGCTGCCTGCTGCCTTTCCCAGGGGTGGGGCTGCGTGTGGACGGGGAGGGGTGGCAGAAGGGGGGCAGCTGCCCAGTGGGCCTGAGACTCACCTTCACGGTGAGGATGAAGCCATGGCTATAGAGCGGGTTCTCGCGGTCCAGCAGGCCATTCAGGGTCAGCGCCCCGCTGATGTAGTCCAGCGCGAAGATGCTATTGGTGTTTCCTGCGGAAGAGAGACCAGCGGCTGTCCCGGTGCCCAGGCCTAGCTGGTGGACTCGGTAGTAACTCAACATGGTCCAGCTGAGGGGAGCTGGGAAGGAGGCCTGGAGCCCCCTGGAGCCCGCGGACCAGAGAGGGGACAGCAGGGGACAAGGCCCCGCCCTGCTTACTTCCTCTGCTCCCTGGGAGTCCAGGGAAAGGTCCTGGCCTAGTGCTGATGAGTCATGAACACGGTTGAGGTTCTTCATAGAGGGAGGGGCTTTCGGCCCAGAGCCCGTGTGCGACCCCTCCCCAGAATTCAGAGGTTCAGTGAACCCCCAACTCGAGGGGGCTCAGAGCGTCCATGAGTGGAGACCCAAGGTACAGGGTCAGTCTCTTTGGGGAGAGACCCCCACAAAGGTCCCAGACCCTGCTCCCTTTTATGATAAATAGAAATAAAAACAAAATCCAATTTTAAGAATTTAAGTGCTTATTCAACATTATAATTGCTATTATTGGTGTGAAAGTCTCCTGCCCCTGCACCTGGCTGTCCTCACTGGGGTCCCTTGGAGGGGGGCGGGCCGAGTCTCCCTCCCGCCCTGAGCAGAGCCCCGGCAGCTGAAGACCAGCCACAGCCATGCTAAGACCACTCTCCACACACTCAGACGAGCCTCACACCTGAAGGAACCGACAGAGGAACCCAGGTGTGTAGGACCCGGGGCTGAGATCTCCAAGCCTGCTCGGATTGGGGTTGGGCCTCCTCCACTCAGATCCCCCATCTTCCAGTAGTTAGACAGTTACACCCACCAGTGCTGTGTAATCCCACCAACGGCCAAGATCCAAAGACTACAAAACCAAGCTCCTGGAAGCCCACGACCGCATTTGTGGCCGCGCGACCTTTTATTGTCTAGTCTTTGCTCTCAGAGAACCCAGCAGGCTACCGAAAGTATCCTGCCCACATATATGCTTGATTGGGAACACCTGTAAAGGTGATTAGAGGCTGCCCCCAAAGCCTCCACCCCTCTCAGAGAGCACAGCAAGCTACTGAAAGAGTCCCTCCCGCACGGCAGAGCCTGGTAAGCTACCTGTGGCGTACTTGATATGCCAAAACAGTAACAATGATGGTCCTCATTCCCCTGACCCTGGAAGAGCCCCTAATATGCCATTGGGCTACACTAGCACATGACAGGGATGAATGGAGACGTTACTGGAGCCTGCTCGAGCAAATCGATGAACAACGGGATGACAGTGATACAGTGATACAGTGATTATTGGTGTGGGGGTGATGCTCAGGGGTTATCCCTGGCTCTGCACTCAGGAATCCTCCTAGTAGTGCTCGGGGGCCATATGGGATGCCTGGGATCGAACCCGAACTGGCCATGTGGAACCCATACATACACACGCTCTTTTCTCACACAGCAGAGCCCAACCCAACCTCTTGCCAACTCCGAATCTCCCAGGACCGTAGGCAGCAAGGGTCACGGAGTTGCCCAGGGCCCAGACCGGCTCCCCCCACTCCTCAGCATAGCACCATCACTGCCTGCACCCCACAGGGAGTCATCTGGACTGAAGGGTAGGATTCATGAATTTACTTATTCACCTTCAGAGGAGCATCTGCTGTGAGCCCTGGATGAACACCTATTATGTGCAGGTTCCAAGGCTCAGAAAATCTCCTACTGTGTGTGCAGGGCCATGAGACTTCGGTACTACTGTGCATGGTGTAAGATACACTGTGTGCTGGGCATCATACTTGAAATAGCACCTACTGACGGCAGGGACACAAGATTTGGAGGAGCACCTACTGTGTGCAGGTGTGAGATTCAGGTGAACACCTACTGTGTGCCAGATGTGGGATTCAGATGAGTACCTACTGTTCGCAGGTGTGAGGTTCAGGTGAGCACGTGCTGTGTGCAGGCGTGAGCCTCGGGTGAGCTCCTACTGTGTGAAGAAACAAAGCAGGCAGCCTCCTGCCTTGAGTCTCACAGGAAAGTTCCTTGTCCGTTAACCACATGTCTGAACAGCGCAGCACTTGCTGGCAGGAGCTCCCCGAGGGAAAACGAGGCGGCACAGAGAGAAGAGGTCGGGCTTCTGGAGACAGACCACAGGGTGGACTGTGACCAGCAAGGTCTTCATCTCTCGGGCCTCCTCTCATGACTCTGGAGGAAGCAGTGGAGGACACAGCCCGCCACACAGAGAACCTCACAAAGTCAGGCTGCCTGGGACCCACTGAAATCCCACCCCACCCCGGGCCGTGCCCAGAGCCATCTCCTACGGGAAGCACAGACCCGTCCTCTGGCCAGGAAGGCCAGCACCGAGGGACTCAGTGCTTGCTGGGGGTCCTGAGGCCATGGCTCAGCCAGAAAATCCTATGCCTGGGTGCTGCCTTCAGGTCCTGCACCTGTCACTCCTGGGGTGGGTCTCCAGCCCCCACTAACATCCCTCCGGGGTAGGTCTCCAGCCCCCCATCCATGTCCCTCCCTCCAGCAGCCTCTTCCTACATGACTTCCTCTGTGCCAGGAAACTGATAGCACCCTGTCAGCCTCCGCCCTGCATTCAGGCTTAGCCAAGTCCCCTTCAGCGGGCCGCCGTTCACCTGTTCAGGTGAACAGACAGGTGCCGGGCAGAGAGGCAGCCCTGGGTGACAGGTGCAGCCCTGGCACGGCGGGGGAGGGGACCCCCTGGGACCCCGGAGACTGTGCCTCTCAGTATCCCCCAGAGAAGCAGGACAGCATGTGAGCCAAGTCTGGGGGCTGCAGGGGCTCTGGGCGCCCCCCCGCCATCTCTCCCGTCCATTAAACCACAGACGCCACAGCAAAGCCAACATCTCACGGGCCGTGCACAGAGCAGGCAGAGCTACTGGTGAAACCAGTGACTCCATCCTCCCGATGCCGGAAAGGGGGATACCCCGCCTTACACCAGAGGAAATGGTCACAAAGATGCTGCAAACACGGCCCCAGGGCCAGAGCCACAGCACAGCGGGGAGGGCTGACCCGGGTTCGATCCCCACCTTCCCATACTGATCCCTCAGTGCAGCGCCAGGAGTAAGCCCTGAGCATCACTGGGCGTGGCCTCACCCCCAAAACAGAACAGGCCCAAGGTCACGTGACTGTGCAGTGGCTGGTGCCCACTTCGGCATCATCCGTCCCCATCCGTCCTCGTGGGCATCTGTCCTGCTCAAGTATCTGCATCCGCTCTGCGCTGGCCAGGAGCCAGGGAGCACGGCCACACACACACGATCACTGCCCTTTAGCAAACAAGGTGCCATTTCGAGGAGGGAGCCCTACCTGAAATGCATTATACGTTCTAGAAAGTTCCAGCACATTCCTCCACGACCAGGTTAGTGGCAGCAGAATGTCCACGTGGTGCTGGCGAGGAGGGTCAGTGGGAAAGCACAACTACAGCAGAGCTGGCAGCAGAGAGGGGACATTTGTGGGGCACCGGGAAGGTGGTCTCGGCCAGTTCCCGGAGCCAGCGAGGAATGAGCTGGAAAGCTTAGACAGGTGGGACCCGGGTTCGATCCTGCATGGGCAGGAGGGGGACCAGCAATAGGCAGGAGAGAGAGACAGAGGCAAAGAGACACAGAGAGACAGAGACAGAAAGAGAGAAAAGAGAGAGGCAGAGAGCAAATGAGACAGAGACAGAGAAAGACAGACCGACATATAGGCAGACAAAGAGAGACAAAGAGAGAGCAAGAGACGGTGAGATAAGGGCTGGAGCGATAGCACAGCGGGTAGGGCGTTTGCCTTGCACGCGGCCGACCCGGGTTCGATTCCCAGCATCCCATATGGTCCCCTGAGCACCGCCAGGAGTAATTCCTGAGTGCATGAGCCAGGAGTAAGCCCTGAGCATCGCCGGGTGTGGACCCAAAAAAGAAAAAAAAAAGAGTGAGATAGAGACAGAGATAGTGACAGATAAACAGAGATAGAGAGAGATACAGAGAGGCAGAGAGACAGACACACATACAGAAGGAGGCGTCAGAGCTGGGGGTGCCCGCGGAAGTGGGCACAGCGGGGACAGGAACTACTGGGGAGAAAAACCTGGAGGAAGGCTCAGCGGCAGCTAGAGGGCGCAGCAGAGTCGAGCAAAGGCCCCGCGGTCCGGGGTGGGCAAAACCGAGGGAGGAAGTGGGAGAGGCAGACTGGAAGAGAGGGGCGGGGGGTGGGGGCAAGAAGCTCAGACTTGAACTTGGAGAGGGAGAGGAGGTGGTCCCTGTGGCCCCCTGGGCTGGGGAGCCCGGACACACCCTGCGCTCACCCTCCACCCCTGGACAGGGGCTGGTTGGCTGGAGGGCTCTCCTCCTCCCCCCCCTGCCACGCCCCTCCCCGGCCTCAGCCCTCATCACCCCACCTCTGCCCTTGTTATCTGCAGGCAGCATCCTGACCCCTGGCAGCAGGTCTGGCGAAAGACCCTCCAGCGCTGGCGGTGCTTGCGTGCGGGAACACGGGCTGGTGACTTTCAATTGCTTTGTCTGCTCCACGACCCTCCTCTGCCCGCTGAGGTAGAGGAAAACCAGCCTCCGGCACCCGGGTCCTTCTCTCCCCAGGCCCACCTCCCACACCGCGGCCGCCGCCTGGAGGCTGCACCCTGCCAAGGTGCCCACCCTCAGCACCTCGGGCGAGGCTGGTGCTCCCCCACCCAGGCAGCGGCTGGAGAGCCCGGAGCACGCTGGGGCCGGGACGAGGCTCAGCGCCTTCCTGTCACAGGCTCACCGGGCTCTACGGCACCAGGAAGAGTCGGGGGGTCCCGTGGGGGAGGTGGGGGCGGCAGGTACCCTGAGTCTGGCCCTGGGGAGGGGCGTGGGAGAGGACGGGAGGAAAGAGCCAAGGGACAAGGAGCCACGGACGTGGCCCTCAACCCTGCTCCCCTTGCTCAAAGCAGCCCCCAACCAGCAGCTGGACATGGATGAGAGGATGTGGGGGGTCCTGAACCCCGCACGCAGGCACAAGGCAAGAGAGCGAGATTGGGGTTTGCACCCCATTCCTCTGGGCCTCTCTCTCTCTCAGCCCTGCCCTTGCCCGGAGTCTA